CAATTTTTTATTTATCATAACTTAAAAATAGAAAAATAAAAAAATCGAATAATTACTATTTTTAAAATAGATTTTTTTAAATCTTAAAAATATTTTAAGTTGAAATAAAATAAAAATGGAAAATACAACAAGAAACAACAAATCAATAATGAAATTAGGATATAATGAAATAATGATAACATCAATGTATTTTAATGACATTAAAGATTTTGTTAATTTAGAAATGGGAGTTAAAAGATTTCAAGGAAATATGGAACGATTTCATTTTAATCCAATTCCATTAAATAAATATTCAAGAAAATTGTTTCCTAATATTGAAACATTTCATATTTATAATAAAGATAATAAAATATTTAAAGATGGAAGAATAATTAAATATGTAACATGGTATACAATCGAATATTCAACATATTTACAAGAGAAAGAAGCATGGAATGAATGTAAAAATAAAGAATATACAGAATATGATAGAAATACATATGGAAATACAATACCATTAGAAGTTAAATCACTTGGAGATAATTGTTTTAATAGTTGTGATGCATTAAAATCATTAATATACCAACATCAATTAGTGAAATAGGATATTATTGTTTTGATGAATGTTCATCATTAACATCAATTAACATACCATCATCTGTTAGTAAAATAGGACATTGGTGTTTTGATGGATGTTCATCATTAACATCAATTAGTATAGATAATATACAATATATTAGTAAAGAAAGAATATTTATGAATGAACCAGTGTTAGTTAGTATTAAAATACCAGAAAATCTAGAAATAATCAATGGAAAGAATATTTTCAAGAAAGATATTAATGAATTTATTATTCCATCTTCAATCACTAAATTAGATAGACAGTGTTTTTATAAATGTTCATCATTAACATCAATTAATATTCCAACATCAATTAATGAAATAGGAGAATGGTGTTTTTGTGAATGTTCATCATTAAAATCAATTAATATACCATCGTCAATTACTAAAATAGGAAATTATTGTTTTGAAAGCTGTAAATCATTAACATCAATTAATATACCATCATCAATTACATCATTTGGATGGGGATGTTTTTATGGTTGTGGATGTGAAGAAGAATTAAAGAAAAATAAAAGAATACCAAGAAATTGTTTTAACAAATGACATTGAGTGAAATAAAAATACAATAAATGAAATACAATATAATTTGAAGTAGAAATAAATTATAATTGATTATCATTTATATTATTATTATTATTCTTTTCTTATTTATTCTTTTGATATTATTCTTTTCTATCTTATTGATTGATATATCATTCTTTATATTTGTTTTATAATTCTTTTTTTATTCTTTATTTCTTTTTATTCTTATTTTTTATATTCTTATTTTTATCTTTCTTTTTTATTTTATTTCTTTATATCTTTTATTTTATATCTTTATTTTATTTTGTTTATTATTTATTATATATTTTATCTTCTTATTTATTTATTTTATTTATATTTTATATTTATTCATTCTTTATTCATCATTTTGTTTTAATTTATATTAAAAATATTTAGAAATGAGAGAATATAATGTTGAATTTGATTTTATATTTTGATTATTTCATTTATGAAATTGTTGATTAATGATTACTGTTGTTAATTTTCATATTTCATTTTATTATTATTTTATTGATGATTTCATTATATTGATTGTTTATGATACAATTAAATAATTCTTATTGATTAATATCATCTGATTCATTCATTAAATGATGAATTATTTCATTTATTTGTATTTATATTGTATATTATGTACATATTGATATATTCAATAATCAAAATGATAAATTTAA